ATCAGCTGGATTCTTCTGCAGGGCTGGACACACCAGTTTAGAAATGGCTCCTGTTTCAGAACTCATCCCACAGTTTTGAACCCAGGAACTCCTTTCATCACCTACACATACTAATACACTGCTTTGATATCTGGGAACAATGAGCCTCCGTGGGCAGCACCAGCTACTTACATACACTGCAAGCTAGATGTGACCAGGTAGATACTTTCTCACAGCCCTGTAGTCTGATTAACAGCATTTTATCTAACAGTGTTTAGAAGTATGTCAGTTGCCTCTAGTCACCAGTGATTGACTAGTGGCACGATCGTTACCAAAAAAATTGGCAGCGCAGCACATATTGACCTCTTGAATGTAAAGGGACTTCATATATCTCAAATGTTTTCCCCATTAAGAACGCTTTGTATCCAAATACTGTCAATGTGTTATTGAAAAAAAATCTACCTCAATGAGACAGACTGCTAACTAATCAACAGAACAAGCTCCCAGCCCAGTAACCAAAAAGGGAGAAGGCACAGGACATGATAGAGTAGCTTGACCTCATTAGAGAGCTTCAAGCTCTCACCAGGATCACATTTTATGAGAGACAAACAGGTTGGCTAATGTAAAAAGTGACAAAAGCATCATGAAACCAGCAGAACAACAGTCATACATTAACATTTTAAAAGGGATTGAATGAATTCTGCAGGCAGGATTAATATCTGCATTTTCAGCAACTAAATTGAAAAGTTGTAAGACCAAGAGAAAGAGTTGTGATGCAAGCTCCACCCTATCTGCCATCTTTTCTTTAAGGCATATTGATTGGCGGCTTACCCTATAGTCTAGCATTGCAAAACTGGCCAGAGCGTTGTGTGGTTTGTTTTTCTTTTTTCCAGACCATAAGGTACAGGCCACTCATATAAACACAGAATGCCAGACTAGATGGATTAATGGTCTTCCAGTGTGACATCTTCTATGTTCCTTAAGCCATGCTAAATTTTTTCCCAATACTAAAATATTTCTTTATACTTGGAAATTCTTGCTAATCACTGCATGATATTAAAATTTTTGGCACCTATGACATCTTTTTATGACAGGGTGCAAGTATTGTGAACTGAATGAAATAAAGGGGCTCTTATGCAGCCTTTTTGACTCAGGATCACAGACTAAATACTTAACCTCGTGAGGTAGCTATTATCCTCATTTTACAGATTAGGAAACTGAGACAAGGAGTTTGTGTGATCTGTCCAAAATAACAAGAACAAGCCAGTTGCGCAGCTGGTAACAGAACCCAAGAGTCCTGACCACTCGGTATCTCCCTTCCTGTACTTGATGTTCATAAATCCCAGTTTGATAATTGTTACGGTAAGTTACATAGTGTGCTTTTAATTGTAGAGGGAGAAAATAGATACACAGCTTGTGTTGTACTCATGGGTCACAACTTTATACCATGCTGTGCTGTGTATTCAGGGGGGTTCTTTGTTTGGGGGTAGTGTACTTAAAACTATGACTAAAATTATACTACCTTTTCACTGAATGTTGCCAAGTTTCTCAGTGGCAAGCTTACAAAAATTGCATCCCCACAACCAATATAGGTAGGAGGTAGATACCTGCTTCTGTTTTGAATAGAATCCCAGAGCAATGCTGCCATATAAAAGGGAAAAGAGAAAATTAAAGTTATCATCCTATGTCAACCATGTTAGTCCTGCATAAATCAGTAGACTGTATATGCACATACTAAGGCTGAATGGTAATAACCCTCATACAACTTGTGGAAAAAATAGTGAACATGTGCAAAAGACTGCACAACTAAGTGAAATATTTACCATTTATAACTGGTCAGATAAAGAAAACATTGTAGGAGTTAAGGAGAAATATAACTTAAGGGGAAGATTAGTGGCAAGTTTTAAACAGGTCCATGTATTTCATCTATAAAAATGCCTGCAAAATAGCTATATAAATACAATCTCTTCCCTGTTGTTTTGTAAATTGTTCTTAAAATCCAGTTTTTTTAAAATGTGAATTCTAATATTGTCCAAGTTCACATTTAAATATTTATCTGATGAAAGCTCTAACCAAAGTTGCTTTAATCAAGAAAATTTCCATTTAATACACTCATAAATGGGAAAAACAAGGCATTTTTCAGTGCATTTTGAACCCACTCTAACAACATGGCTTTCAAAAGAGAAGTTCAGCAGCTGTTTTAAGAAAAGAAGAATCTCTATCAAGGATAGGATGGGAGCAAGACATCTTGATCCTTAAGAGGAATATCAGAAAAGGAGATGAAGAGAGAGTTTGCAGTAGCGTTAAGATTTCTCACCATTGTATATTCCTAACCATTTTATCCCATGTTTAATATCTTAGGAAATAAGGCTTCCAACCTATTACAGTGGGAAAAAGTGGGAGGTGGGCGCTGCCTTGTCGCCCCTTTCCTCTTGTCTTTCTACGGCAGACCCTGCAAGAGGGCGCTCCCCGCTCACCCCTCACCTTGGGGCCTCCAGATCTTTTTATCGGGCCCCTGTTCCGCAAGCCCCCCCAGCTTCCCCATTCCCATACGCCAAGTCGACTGCACACCCTGCAGCCGGTTCGCTTCCGAACCGCATCCAGGGACCAACCGTACACGCTCGTGCTCTGCGCATTGCATTTCCTCATCCTCTCGGCCCGCCCCGACACCAAGTGGCAGGACTATTTAGCACCTGTGGAGGGTGAGGAGCCCCGGTGGGCCAGTCTCTACTCCACCTCGGTCCCACGGCCCGCCGGGGACTTCGTTTGGCAGCTCCTTCATGGAGCCGTGAGCACGGGTATGTATCTGGCACAGTTCATCCCCATGCCCAAGGCCTGCCCGTTCTGTGGCGTGAGGGAGAACCTGGCACATGCCTACCTCGAATGCGCCAGGTTGCAGCCCCTATTCCAGCTCCTCCACAACCTCTTCTTGAGGTTCTGGCTGCACTTTTCCCCACGCTTGGTCATTTTCGCACATCCTATCCGTGGCCCCACAAAGTCACGAGGCCTCCTCATCAACCTCCTCCTGGCTCTGGCCAAAGTCACCATTTATAACACCAGTAGGAGGTTGTTGGACGAGGGGGTGCTCTGCGACTGTGGGGCCTATTTCCATTCCTCCCTGGTCTCATGCCTCCGGGCAGAGTTCCATTGGGCAGCATCCACTGGCTCCCTAGACACCTTTGAGGAGCAGTGGGCACTGTCCGGGGTCCTCTGCTCAGTGTCCCCATCCGGTACCCTTGTTTTGACCATCACTCCACTCCCTATTTTTCATTAGTTGTCTCCCATATTCATTTGGTTCCTGGGTCCAGCAGTCCCTCCCACTAGGCTGGGGGGAGGGGGCCTTTAGAAGTGGGCAGGCACCACATTTTCCAATAAGGCTACAGTGGGGAAAAAATTCTACAGCACAAGTAAACCGATCTGGAAATTCTCTGATACTAGATTTTAAAATTCCCTTTCTTTATTGCACCTAGTTACTCCTAATTACAAGTTTGTACAATCCTAAATAATTATTTTTGTTTTCTACCCTTCAGGTACTCTACCCCTTAAAAGTATAACTTTTGACATTAGTCAATCCCTAAATCCTCCAACTTTTGTTGCTTTTTCTCTGGATTCATTCAAATTTGTCTACACCTTTCTGGAAATGAGGTACCCTAATAGATTCTATATCTCTGCTCTCACTAGAGGAGCTAGTATAGTGCCTCCCTGTCCAATTAAGTATGCTGCAAACTCCTATCTAATTTGCTGTTCACACATAATCCTCAATGCATCCTCACTCAAATTGTTCAGAGCAACAACAAAGGAAATTGTGGATATACTAATGCTATTAAATATTTGAAATAAATTTGAGTTGCTTTTGGGCCATTACCCTAGTTAACATCTTGAAATCAGATTACAAACACTTGGTGGGGGAGTGTCAGTTTTCTAGCCCTTTCTAGAGCACCTTGTTTATGTGGTGCTCTCTAGTAATTCAGAAAAGTTTGGGAAGGGGGAGTTAAGGCAAGCCACAGATAGAGCTCTAAGGCCTCATCCTCTCTAATCTCCCACAGCTGTTTTAGGTCACACTAGTAACTGAAATTTGGTTTGAACATTTGCAGATGAGTCAGGTGTATGTGGAGAAGCATAATTCCAGAAACCTCCTTTGTAGTATATGCCCCCTTCTCCGCTACTCATTTACTGAAGTAAACTGAAGTGAATGAAAATACTTGACATCTGTGTATTTTACTTTTTACAAAAAATATTTGGTCAGATTGGAGCCTACATGAGTGTAAAGATAACAGAGGATATCCCCTATCAACAAAAAGGGTTCTCCTCTTAAGGCGCTAACCGCTTCTCCCTTCCCTACAGCCTTTGGGGTAGGGGGGAGCGACTGAAAGCAAACCCTAGGGACAGAAAGCGGACACTTTACAATAGCAAGATTAAGCTGCAGACCACGGCCGAAACACAGAGCTAATCAGTGCAGACGGCCTCCCTGGCTTTAGCTTCAGGCACCAGGGCTTTTCCAGCTGCTTGTGGTTCCTCCCTCCCCTACATGTGACGAGCAACGATTGTGTAGCGTGCGTTTCAGAACCAAGCGCCCCACAAGCCTGGGCCTGGCCCTAGCAGCTCGTGCCTGGGGACGCAGCTCCCCAGCGCCTCTCGCTCAGCAGCCGCCAAGCCGCCCCCTGCACTTCACTGCACTGCAGCAGCCACGCGCACACCCCGCTCCCCCCACGACGAGCCCAGCGCGCCGCGCCGCGCCGCACCCAGCCCCGCTCGCGCAAGCCCCACGTGTTGCACCCTCACGGGCTGCTAGCCGCCTGCTAGCGCCCGCCCCCGCCTCGCCCCGCCCCCTTTAGTGCCTCCCGCTCTGACCTACCCACCAATCCCAACGCGAGAAGTGGCCACTCTGCGCAGAGAAGCCACGCCCCTTCCTCTTCTACCTCCCGCCCCCTCCTCTTCTTTGTTCTCGCCTCTCATTCCCACCCCTTCTGCTTCAGGACTGTTGCAGCTGAAACTAGTGGCAGCTGGTGATTGGTGGTCCCCGAGACAGCCAATTGGAGAGAGGCACCTCAGAGCAGGCGTGTAGTGTGGGCCCAGCCCCCTAAGAGGAAGAGAAAGAAGGGGGGAAAAAGAGAGACGCAAAGCAAGTCAGGTGGTGAAAGGTGCAATTTTTAGGGTATTGCTAGTACATGCAAGGATGAATGTCAGTAAAGTCTGCCTGTTAGTGCTCCTCCTGGGGCTGGCTCAGCTTGCTATATTAGCAAGCTGCCAAGAAGAAGAACAAGGTGGAGGTGAGTGTGTGATTAGTTCTGCTGTAGTGGATGAGAGCTGGTTTGTCTCAGGTCTGAAAAGGAAATGGGCTTGTGTTAGAATGTCGTGGTCTGTAACATTTAAGGGAGGAGGGATTGGTAAAGGGATAAAATCCGCTGTACCCTGCGAAGGTACTGTTATACAGATGCTAGAGGTTTCTTGTTGAGTTAAAAGGAATAGATTAAAACTAGTGGAGGGGGGAGGGAAGCAAGGGCTGGTCGGGAAGCAATTAAAAGAATTAGAGGATGTGTGGAAAAGTAAAATGTTAAGTAATGATAAAAAATGCAAGAAAAAGTATGAGAAAATAAGGGCAGTTAGTGGATCACAGGGGTTAACGTGTAAAAAAGCCAAAATCTCTGGAAATAGGAGGTGACAGTTGTAATCCTAAAACCCTGAGGTTAAATGAGGAAAATGCTTGCCAGAGTATCTAAAGACTATTGATCATCTAATTAGATAAAATTGCCACATCCCTTACAATATCTATGAAACTCATTGATTGCTTTTGATCAACTAGCTTATGTCCTGTTCTTATTTGTATTGCAGAAACCCAAAGACTGACTATTCTCTTTTTGTGCAAATATCTATAAAGAAAGCATAAACAAAGCATAAAATATGTATTCTGTAACTCATTGCCTTGGGTCACTCACACTGGAAATGAAAACTCTGTTATAAGGTTAGAAATTCCAAGGGAGAAATTAATTTCAATGCAGAGGATCAGCATGAGGCCTATGCATTTACTAAAGGGCCAATTGCACAATTAAATGCACATGGGTGCACTGCACATTGATTTTAATTGCAGTACAAGGTGTGTGTCTGTGCACAGTCAGTTGTAGGCTCAGGGCCTGAGAACTTTGAGGGATAACACCTTAGGTGAATACTATGTAATAGGGTGAATTTCATTTCTAAGACCTATTCTAGCAAACATGTTGGTGAATAAAGACTGTTTCTAGGATTGGATCCTGAGGGAGTGATGCAAAGTAAACATGGTTTAAAAATTAGACTGAAGTTATTTCAAAACTTCTATATCTTTAATCTTATTTTGGCAGAGGAAAAAATATATTTTTCAATCTTTTTATGTTAATATAACTAGAACTAACTATTGCACTTGAACTTATGAAGCAACTAAATGGCCTGGAAAACAACTCCATATTGAAATGTTAACATAATGTTAACTGGATAATGCCACGAAATAACTATTCTTATATTTGAAGAATTTCTCGCTTCTTAATAGGTACCGCTACTTAAATTAATGTTGGTGGTGATCAAATTGTACTCTTCTAAACACATACATTTATTTTTCGAAGGTGAACTTGAAATGAGTCTAAACCTCTAATCAATAAGTAGTGATAGTGGTTGGCCTAATGCAACTTATCTTAAAAATTATTACCTTCCAAATTAAGAAACTACCATGATAAAAAGAGAGCGCTTTTATAGGCGGTAGAAAAGAATTAACTTCATGAAGTTGTGTGGAATAATCTCTGGGGGTCTTTTCCCCCCTAAACCTTTTCTTGGGCTAAATAATGGCAGACCTCAAAGCCTACTTTGATTTAATAAAAATCCATCACAATTTGCTAACTCTGCCGGTTGCTTTCTTCAGGGTTTTAATATTCTTATGGGGCTTCTACTTGTCCTGGGCTGTGGACATTAGTACTTTGACTTGCAGCTCATTCTTCTTGTCTCCTCCTGCAAAGTATAAAATGAAGTGCTAGCATCCTCAGTATTCACTGTCTCCTTTCACATTAAAAATAACGAGTGTTTCAAAATTAAAAAGAATACAGAATACCTACAATATCTACAACCTCTATATTCTCACAGGACACTTACTTCAAATAATCTGTTGCAATTTTGTTTTGCTGAATCTTAAGTATCTTGGTCATCCATGCATATTTCCTCACTTCCAAAATTAGATGAAACAAAGCTGCTTTGCATTAGAAATAATTTATAGTCTAGATAGGACTGAGGACATAATATAAAATGGTGTTTCAGTTTTTTAAAAACCTTATTCACACACAAATTAAAACAATAATCTTGTTTGTCCTCTAAAATGTTAGGCACTCTATGTAGTTTTGTGGGAGCAGAGATTCTGAGATAATCACTTGGCTCCCAATCCTGTGGATAGTTGAATTTAATGAAAGTAATTGTGTGTAAAATTACTCACCTGCATAAGCATTTACCAGATTAGGGCCATGGGGGAAACACAACAATTAAGGTTCTCCAGCTTTGCTATATGAGGATCAGGAGAACTTTATGTGGGAGGGTATATTCTGCTCTCTCTGTTTTACTTCTTATTTTGAACAGCAATCAGGAGACACCTTTACTCTTTCTTAGGAAGCTTCTTTAGTATGGCACTGTCCATGCTGCTTGGCTGTTCACCTGAACACTTGCTGTGGTCAGCTTTCAGAATACAGCTGTCCTAGAGTTTATTTCCCTATTATTTGCAGAGTATTTGCTCACAAACATCTCAGAATGATATCCTGGTCCCATTGAAGTTAGTGGGAGCTTTGCCATTGTCTTCAATGGGGCCAGAATTTTTCCCTCTATCTGCAGATGACTGGTGTACAGAATACAGTACCACACTGCCAATATCAAAGACTTTTATATGTAAACTGGAGGTTTATTTTCCTCTGATATGCATTAGTTTAATAGTAATCCATTACATACCCATAATACCCTGCATCTGTGGACCACAAAGTATTTTACGGATCTTAATTAATTCTCACAAAACCCCTGTGAGATAAGTAAGGGGTATATTTTCAGACCACTACTTTCACCACTGAAATGCGGCCACGTGTCTGGGGATACAGCAGTTAAGTAGTGTTACTCTGCATTAACTAAGTTTGTATCAGAAGTGAAGAAGAAGAAGAATACTAAATATAGTTTAAGTTGTGGGGGACCAGAGAGGTAGTTTGGCTATGACATTTCCTGCCGTGAGTGTCCACTTGGACACCTGAGTTAATATTCTTACAGGTGGATTTATCAAGCTCAGTGTTGTGACCAAGTGTCTGGGAGTCATAGCCACCATGTCCTTCCTAAATTGTTAAATGGGAAGGTGGTAACAGGTGGATCCTAGTATGGAAGAGGGAACACAGGTACAGAAAAGATTGTGAATGACTGACATTATTAAAAGTGCCATAGGCTCTGTAATGATTACAAGTTATCAGGTCCTTGATTTTTGCATCACATTAGAAGAACATGTAGCATGAGCATCTAAACTATAAGAACTAGAACATACTACATTATAACGAAGGCTAAATTTTTGTCAGGGATATTTTTAGTGAAAGTCAGGGACAGGTCACAAGCTGCTGTGAATTTTTGTTTATTTCCCATGACCTGTCCCTGACTTTCACTAAAAATATCCCTGACAAAAGGGGTAGGTGGGTCCAGCACCCACTCCTGCTGGGGCTCCTGGGTCCCCCACCGATGCGGTGCGTGGGAGCTCCGGGATCCCACTGCCCCTGGGGCTGGGCTGCTGTGGGGTCCCCTCGCCCCAGACAGCTGGTAGCTGCAGAGTCCCCCAGCTGCCTGCCATGGCTGGGCAGCTGCACGGGGTCCTCCTGGGAGCAGTGAGGGCGGGGCTGGCTGGGAGTTCCAGCCCCAGGGCAGAAAAAGTCATGGAGGTCAGCTTCTGAGACCTCTGTGACATAATTGGAGCCTTAATTATAACTAAGAAAGAATCCTCCCCAGGTGAATAAGTTTCTGGGAGATATTTTGTCTTTGTTCTAACATTGAGTGTCCTTCCCTCATTTCGTATGCATATGCATATTTATTTTGGAGCTGGGCCCAAGCTCCAAAGTTCAGATTTGAATCCAAGACTGAACTGCCTCAGAGTTCAATGGAATCTGGTTCAGATTCAAGATCTTAGAGATGGAGCCAGCTGTGAAATTTGCATCTAGATACAACAGTCATTAGTATTTGGATCCAGGGTTTTGGTGTGGGACCATATGTAACTTTAAAAAAAAAACCCTGAATAGGCCCTATTGCTGATAAATATGCAAACATTATCTATGTGATCGACCACAGCCAGAAATATGCATGAAGATCATCCAGATGCACCCAGGGCTTGGGTTATGTTTCTTACGACCTGTGGCAAGATTGAAGCAACAAGTTTATTTTCTTAAAATTCCGTCCTCTGTGTGCTCACTTCCCACTGAAGTGATCAGAAGTTACCCATATTCATGAGAAGGGAGAGTTTAACCCTCAATAATGACTTGATGAATTTGCTGGTCACTTAGGCTTGATCTACACTAACCCCCCAAATCGAACTAAGGTACGCAACTTCAGCTACGTGAATAACGTAGCTGAAGTTCGAAGTACCTTAGTTCGATCTTACCTCGGTCCACACGCGGCAGGCAGGCTTCCCTGTCGACTCCGCGGTACTCCCCTCGTCTAGCTGGAGTACCGCAGTCGACGGCGAGCACTTCCGGGTTCGACTTATCGCGTCCAGACAAGACGCGATAAGTCGAACCCAGAAGTTCGATTGCCAGCCGCCGAACTAGCGGCTGGGTATAGACGTACCCTTAGTGTGACTGCTTGCATGAGGTTTTATTTTTAAACAAAATTTGTTGTTTAACTGCCTCATCAATTTCTTTTGCAGGAAGCTTAAAGAAAAACATAGCTATAATAAAATTTAAGTCTATTTCTCTTTTTCCTTCCACACAGACCTCTGTTTTTACATGCAAATATTTATTTGCTACTTCTGCAATTTAAGCTGTAGTCACTCAACAGGCTAGCCTCATTCTGTAACTCTCAGGGCACCTGACTCTTAAAAATGTAAATCTCTAACTTAAAGTTTCATCCACTGGGTTGTGTGTGTAGGGGTGGTTTTTGCATCACATCTTTAGCAGGTCTTATCCTTCTGACACTGACAGCAGACTTGAAGGTAGACAGTCAATGTCCCTCTAAGAAGCAATGACACTAGTGAAACTAGCGGCAAAAGTGGATAAACTCTACTACCAGCGAATTATAAGTCTGCTCTTGAAAGTGCAAGAGGTGGATTGATTTAAATCAATGATTTCTTTTTAATCAAATTTTTCTTTTTGTACTTCAGTTATTTTATAAAGAAAGGTGCATTCTTATTGTTTTGATATAACCATTAAAAATGTTGATTACAACTAAACAGAGCCTTTACACTACATTTAGTACATCTTTTTGCTACCTAGGAGGGTACACTAACTTAAGCAACTATAAAGCTTAATATTTTCAGATTCTTAATTGTACATTTTAGTATGTTAGAAGAGGGTGAATGATATATTGCTTATTTACTGGGTAATTAACTTTATCGTGATTTGTGTCCAGCTGCAGTAAGATGGCAACTAGAATTTAAACACACAAAACAGCATATAAAATTTATCTGTATTAAACAAAACATTAAACATTTTGATTACATAAACTTCTCTTATCAAAACATGTTTCACATTTACAACTAAATGATTTATTAACCTGAGAAGTTAACTGTAGTCAGTGAATTAAATTGACTATTTCAGGTCAGCCTGGGAAAATTTTCAAATATGCCCTTGCCTAAGTGAAAGTAACTGGAATATAAGTTCCTACTTGCTTAAGTCTCTTAAAAATGAGTCTCCTAAGTTACATAGGCTGGTCTATTGTGCCATATTTATAAAGCCTGACCTCAAAAGTTAAATGTTTGTCCCCTGATTCTTTCTTTATATAGAAAAGCAACCTTGAACTTAAAGTTTTTGATAGAAGCTCATGGGTTCAGCATATTTATTTTTATTTAAATATTTTAAAAGAGATAATAAGTTTAGACCTTAACACATTTTGGATTAAATTCAGATTTCATTTTAAACAGGTTTATTTAGAAAAAGAAAAACTTATTATAATTTAAATAGCAAAATCAAAAGAAAATCTGATTGGGGAATTGTTCCTTTTTTTTTTTTTTTTTTTAAATCTGCCCTGAATATGCTTTTTTGTGTTTCTGACAGTGAAATAAAAGGGGCAAGGGAATGAAGTAGTGTAATATTACTGTCAGCAGTGTAGAATGATCTGTGTGGCCTATCAAGGAGTACTTTTGTAGAAAGCTATGAAGCGTTTTAAGGATACTGAGGTAATTACAGAAGCTGCAGTAAAATTACACCTCCATTTAATAAACTAGTAAGACTAGGCCTGAACTCCTTATGTTCTTACTCATGCAAAACTTTCGTGGTCTTGTGACTTCATTTTGTGGAGGCAATATTAATTCTGACATTTAACTCTGAATGTTTGACTTTGCAACCTAAAGGGTGGTGGGTGGGTATAAGTAAGCAATGGTGCACAGAGTGGTCTGGTAGTTAGTGACAAGGCTAGGAGTCCTGAACTGACTTCCCATTTCTGTCACAGAATTTCATTGTGACTTGAAAATCCAGTCTTGAGTGACTTGCTTCAAAAATGATGAGCGTCCTCAACACCTGTGGAGACCTGATTTTTTTTAAACTTGTTGCTCACTTGCAGCTTCTGTTTACAAGTTTACTGGAAACTTTGGGTGCTAAGCAGCTCTGAAAATGCAATCTCTTTGTTTCCCTATCTATAAAATGGATATAGTAAGACTTTCTAACTCTCAGGAATGCTTTGAGTATTTTTTTTTTTTGTTTAAGTGCTTTGGGATCTATGTGGGGAAATGCTTTGGAAATACAAAGTAATAACACGTTTTTCAAGTGCATTGACCAATTTTAAATCTGTGTTTGTAGTTGCTGCTTGAGAGCAGGTGAAACAGTAGTCAGTGTTGATTAAAGAAACTTAATCTGCATCCAGATGTCAGCTACTGTAAGATAGATAACCTCTGCAAGCTTTCTGGCTCCTGCAAGCACTCATTTAATCAGAAGCTATGGTATCAGATACCCTTTAAAGCTGAATGTTAATTAAAAGTAACACACATCCACCTGAAATACAAACTGCTTTGGGGCTGAAGGGGAGTTAAAAACAGGAGAAACTTACTGAGCGATGCCACTCTCCCTGCAGTAAAACTTACCTCCTGTGGCCCTAGAAGCTACTGCTCTCTGGTCCAGTTATGCTTTCAGTTACACTGTTGAAAATCCAAGTAACTCATTTGACATCAGTGGATTTATACCAGCATAACTGAGAAAAGAACGTAGTCCATTATTATTCCCACTCCCTTGCCCATTAGCCATCATGTGTTCCTTTAATCCTGGATGCACAAACTTTAGTTGCAGCCAGAACATTTTCCCAGCTGGGAATCCTGCCCGGAACAGATATGTTTGGCTAGGTACCTACATGGTTTCTTGTCTTACTACATGCTGATCTGTTTGTTCATAAACTGACTGGACATTCACCACTACATGGGTGAGGAAATTAATAATCTGGGCTCTTCAGTGGCAATACTTTTTCCTGCAGTTAATAAGAGCTTTGACTTTGTTAGTGCTTGTTCTATTAAATTAACTCCCTGAAAGTTCTTCAGTAAGGCTTACTTTATCTTGAATGATATCAGTGTTATCCAATGCTGGTGTGGTTTGATCCCTCAAGTGGCATCTTAATGAGACTCGACATCTTTAATTCCAAACCAAGAATGAACATGGCAGTGGAAATAACCTATACAAACCAAAGATAGGACAACCTTCACCCAAGAGAGAATGGCTGCTTTCTTCTCTCTCTGTCTCTCCTCTACTCCCCCCAATATCTGTAGACTTGAGGTAGTAAGTTCTACAGCCTGAATCATGGTTGCCTCCTAAAACAACATATTTAAACAAGGGGGAAATGCTTCAGATACATTCATTCTTAAAATAGCACTCTGAATAAACCCTGAGTAATAAAATGATGAAAGCTGTAATGTTGTAGCTGGTATATTGCCCATTTATCCTGGAGCTGGCAACAGCATAATCAGCAGGTCAAATTATACACTCAGTATAAATCCAAGCAAACGCCTTAATTTCAGTATATATCCAGAGTCGTGATCTCTTGAGTTAGTCTCTTGCTCTCTTCCATCATTGTTAAACACTGTCAGGTAATTCAAGGCCAAAACCAAAGCTCTTTGTTTATTCAGATTTGTCTGCATTATCACACGGAATTTTACTACATCTAGCACATCTAAGGAGACTCCACATGGACACAGGGATTTGCACTAGAGCAGGGGTAGGCAACCTATGGCACGCGTGCTGCCTTCGGCATGCGAGCTAATTTTCAGTGGCACTCACACTGCCCAGGTCCTGGCCAGCGGTCGGGGGGGGAGGAGGGCTCTGCATTTTAATTTAATTTTAAATGAAGCTTCTTAAACATTTTAAAAACCTTATTTACTTTACTTTACATACAACAATAGCTTAGTTATATATTATAGACTTCTAGAAAGAGACCTTCTAAAAACGTTAATATGTATTACTGTCATGCGAAACCTTAAATTAGAGTGAATAAATGAAGACTTGGCACACCACTTCTGAAAGGTTGCTGACCCCTGCACTAGAGGATCCCAATACAGGAGCAAGGCCATGATGGGTACAACACAAAGAAAGTCTTTGAAACCATTGTATCTAGATAAAATTTCCAAAATGGTGGGTTTGGGGTTTTTTGTTTTGTTTTTTAATGTAATGAAAATCTTGTTGTGGATTGAACAATCTACTGAACTGAGAACAAGAAAGTGAAACTAACTAGTATAATTTCAGTGAGCGAATGCAAGAATAAAATGTTTCCCATACTTTGGGGAAAAAATTTAAATGAAAACAATTGCACACTCACCATGTGGTATTAAAGACTTAGATGCTAATTTATACGTCTTCCATGCCTCTCTTCCCTCCCCCACACCCACTGCCAAGGAGGCATGCCCCACACGTCAGGAAATGCTGATGTAAATATTCATAATGTACTTGCTTTTCTCTTTTTATATGCTTTGAGCAGCAGAACAGTTGTGTTGATATTTCAGGTGTCATCCTCATTAACATCTAAATTAGCAGCCATTGAAATGCATAGGACACCACACTTCAGAGCTATTGTTTCAGGCTCTCTGCAAACTCTGGCAGTCATAGCTGCATTGGTTACACTCTGATCATATTCTGAAGAGGTGGTGGTTTTTTTGTTTGTTTTTACTTTTTAAAAAAGTATAATTTTTAACCTGACAGTGTTGCTTTATCACTAAACTTGAAACAACCTAACCTGTATTGTTTTTTCCCCCCACTTTTCTAGAATCTATTACAAAAGAGGATGATGATGACGATGATGATGACGACAGTGAAGATGATGACGATGAGGATGATGATTCTGAAGTTAAAGAAGAAAATGGTGTTTTAGTTCTGAATGATGCAAACTTCGATACCTTTACTGCAGACAAAGACACCGTGCTGTTGGAGTTCTATGCACCATGGTAGGTTTGAAACTTGCAGCATTTTAATAGCCCTTCTATCCCAAATGGATATGTCTATGGGGTTTGAGCCCTCCATTAAATACTTTCCTCAGGAGTCAGTCAAATTTATTTTAGTGTATATATTTCAGCTGGGTTTGTGTGATCCATTTATCGCTTTCAGTGGACAGATTTGTCACTTGCAGCTTAATAGCATGCAAATCTACATAGCTAAAATCACAGGTCTGGATTGTGCCAGTTAGGCAGAGCCTAGAATAAGGTGTGACTTAGAGCGGCATAATTGCAGGGGGAGCACTGGGAAGTAGAACTCTTCCCCAGCCTACTCTAGGAGTATGCCTGGAGCTGCACCTATGTATGAACTGCAGCCTGTTCCTTCTGACTGCTGGTCACACTGTAGGTAGAGCCATGGCTCTATGCTCTTGGGGCACTGTGTATCCCAGGGGGAGTAGAGACCGAGCTGTTCTGACCACAGACGTTGCAATTGTGCCTGGCTCTCATGCAGGTCATGTGGGAGAATAAGGAAGGAGAAGGCCCCTTGCATCCTCCGCACTGCACAGCCAGGTAAGGTCCGGGCAGAATTCAGCCCAGCATCAGAAAATGGCTAGGGATTCTGGGCCTGATTCTCAGTTACCCCCTTAATGCGTCTGGAATTGGGACTGAATTGGGGGGCAAAGGCAGCTTCAAATTACCTTAGTATATAGTTGCCTATATTCCAAAGACATGCAGGGGTTCCCCACTGTGAGTAGGTGCAGCTGGCTTTGCTTCCCTTGGTACTCCGTGGCCCTGAGAAGCAGAAAGTAGCCATAATACAGTACACTCTGGCCAGCCTTTGATCATCCATCTCCACTGGGGGCTGGGAGCAGGGCTAAGACAGGCCCCTTAAACCAGTGCTTCTCTGGTTGGGGAGCTCCCTGTTCAAGGGTATTGTTGTGAGGCTATTTCTGCCCACTTTAAGGCCACTTGACATTGGTGGAACAATGTAATAGGAATATGGTATAACTAAAAATTGACCTGCTTAAGGTCGGCATTATTGACAGCCTTTTGCTGTACATCTCAGTAGTCCAATTCTGCAGATACTCAATTTGCATTGGTGTAACTCTGGTGCATTCAGAGGAGTTACCCTGGATTTATATTGATACAACTAGAAACAAAATTTAGGCCAGTATATTTAATCTAGTGCATTTTACACCACAAACAGTAATATACTAAAGAAAAGGAAAACCTAGGAACAGAAATTGTTGGCAAGATGCTGAGTTAGCACTGCTGCAGGAACCTTTTGCATTGCCTGACTTTGTGATTTTATTTTTTAAACTGTAATTTAACAATGTATTAACATAAAAGCAGCCAAGGAAATTAAATGCGAAACACTTTTTTTGAGTGAGAAAGATGGTCTCCGCTTAATGTTAACGTTGAAAATTTGGTCCCAATTAGCATTTAGATGAACCTATCTAGCTTCTTATATTGGCCTCCATCATGTAATATCTGAATAGAATCAGGCAGGGATGAGTTTCCACCTTTGTAGCTGGAATTTGCCTGCAATTTTTTTTGTAGGGCATAGTTACATATGTGTGATGGTTGCATCTTTGTAATGGAAAAAGATGGAAACACTTTTTTCTTTTAACTTTTTTCACCTGGCCTTGATGCTAAACAAAACTGATTTAAGATTTTCCTATGGAAATAAGAGTAACACTCTCTCTGTCATGCAGGCTGTCCCAGCAGCCCCAGCCCCTGTATGGATTTCTAGGATGGCCAGACAGAGAGAGTGTGCAGTGATGTCATAGGTGGATGGGACTCTATTAGGCACCTTTTATTTCTTCTTAGCTGCTGACTGAACATGCTCCGTAGTGGTCCCCCCCACACACATGCTCACACAGTTGTCTTTATTTCCCTCCCATAATCATTACTTATGACTTTAGCAAAAGACTTCAGTGAGGGTCAGGATTTCACCCAAAGTCTTTAATGATGGTTACATCTATGCCAGGAGTCACAGTTTTGTTGTTTCTGCTGTAGCCTTATTCAAATAGTGGTTACGGTTTTTACAGTGGAGTGGTTTGGAGGTCGATAGGAGGAGCTGGTTGCCCTTTAACTCAATAATAGCTGAATGGATCTTGCTTAAACTTTCTGAAACTCCTCTTCGGGCATGGACAACTTCAAATCAAAGTATGAATGTTTCTTGATATTAAAAACAGAGGTCATAATGGAGACTATGGCTGAAAGTCAGAGCCTCGAACTTCCATCTAGATAGCACTTCTTAATAATCTTACCATTCAAAAGTACTTTACAATATCAGTTAAATAATATTAATGTAGTTACTGGGTGGGCAAGTACAGCAATAACTTTGGACTCCAAGATAGGAGTATGAGACCCGTCATCTTGGATCAGACCATTGATTCAACTAGTGCTCACCACCCTTCTGCTCTCGCTTCATACAAGAGCCGTCCACTGACAACCGGATCACCAAACTTGACTGTTGCATTCTCTCTACTGGTGGGCCCACACATGCACAGCAATTTAAGGACTATTTGCTGTATTGACTGTGTTTTTTGTTTGTGTTTTGTGTGGTTTTTCCCGTCTCTGCTGCAACATTCTAAAACCACTTTGTGTGCAATATAGTTCATTTTTTGTCTCCTTATCCCGTTTCACCTAAAAAATGTCACCTTTTATGCACAAGCAACCGCTTGGATTTGCAACTCATGGAGTGACCTGATCCCTTCCCATCTTACCAAGAGGCAACTCTCACTTCTCTTCCTTACCTCATTCCAACCCATTCATAAGTGACTGTGCAGATAGGGTGACCAGATGTCCCGATTTTATAGGGACAGTCCCGATTTTTGGAGCTTTTTCTTACATAGGCACCTATTACTCCCCCCCCGCCCCCCATCCCGATTTTTTTCACACTTGCTGTCTGGTCACCCTACCTGCAGATCAGCCCTATCAAGATTCCTAGATTATGACCAGGATAAAGAACTTGACATGAGTAAAATGCTGATGGGAAATTTTAGGGATTTAGTCCTCTGGCTGGTGTCAATGGAAATCATACATCTATACCAGGGGTCGGCAACCTTTCAGAAGTGGTGTGTCGAGTCTTCATTTATTCACTCTAATTTAAGGTTTCGTGTGCCAGTAATACATCTTAATGTTTTTAGAAGGTCTCTTTCTATATGTCTATAATATATAACTAAACTATTGTTGTATGTAAAGTAAATAAGGTTTTTAAAACGATTGAGAAGATTCATTTAAAATTAAATTAAAATGCAGAGTCCCCCAGACTAGTGGCCAGGACCAGTGTGAGTGCCACTGAAAGTCAGCTCGCATGCCGCCTTCGGCATGCATGCCATAGGTTGCCTATCCCTGTGCACGATTATAAATATATGGAGAGAGAGCTTTCCTTTTTCGATAGTGAGGAAGGCCAGTGTTCTAAGTTTAACTATCTTATGATAACTGTTGTGACTGTAAGAACTGGAGAGATTGTGTATAGCAGGGGCAAATGTTACTAAAACAATACAGTTGGACACTTTTATCTATTCTAGATCTGAAATCATAGCAAGAAAAATAACACACTAATTCTGAGGTCTTCTTGTGGAACGCTCTGTGGAAATGCGGAGTAGCAAAATTATATCTTCAAATTCATGTCTCTGATTTTACAGGTGCGGGCACTGCAAGCAGTTTGCTCCAGAATATGAAAAGATAGCCAAAACTCTGAAGGAAAATGATCCTCCCATTCCAGTTGCCAAAATAGATGCTACTGCAGCCACTGCTGTGGCAGGTCGTTTTGATGTTAGCGGCTATCCAACCATCAAAATTCTGAAGAAGGGGCAGACAGTTGATTATGATGGATCCCGAACAGAAGATGGTAAGCAGTGCTCTCTCTGAGTTCAGTGTAATGAAGTGAATGGAAGGGTGAAGTGGCATCTTATGACGTATAAGTGGGGCTTTTTAAACACGCTGATCCATTTGTATGGTCTGTTCCTGAGTGCACAGTTCCTTCATTTCAGTTGACTTTTAAATGGAGGAATGTTAAGACCAAGATTATTCTTTTTATTTATTTATTTATTTATTTTTAGGGCCTTTTGAATAGCTTCGTGTTATAGTATGACTTCACCGGATATTGGGTGTCACTGATACCCAATGGATTCTCTTTCACCTGTCACCCCCGCCCGTTTACTAATGTACAGCAATTTGGCTGTTAAAATAGTACTCTTTCATGCTCTGAGAGAGGCCAGCTAACAGTAGTATCAGTATTGGTATATTGGCAATGGCTGTGAAGCCGCTACTTATTTGACACTTAAGGAGATGTTACTATACTTCAGTCCAGGCTGGGAGAAAAGCTGGCTCTTCCAGAGCTGTCATTCCAAAATGTTCAATAAGAAAAGGAGACACTGAAATAACTTGTTGCAATGTACTGTATTTGCGCTCTATAAATCTGGAGGAGCATGAATTGAAATACTGACTTTTTGTTTGTTTGCATTTCTGTGGGGTCCATTAACAAGGAAGTAAGGCACAAAAGGAGCCCAAACAAGTAAGGGTATAGTTAGGATTAGAATTCAGGAGTTCCTTGGTCCTGCTCAATCCAAGACAATACTCAGTCACTCATGTCTCAAATTCTTGATCTCAAATCTTCCTCATAAACTGACACTACAGCACTAGGAAAGATACAGGTGTCATGGATATGCAGCATTACGAACTTGTGTATTCAATTGTTTTTCAGCAATTGTGGCTAAAGTTAAAGAGGTTTCTGATCCAAATTGGACCCCTCCTCCAGAAGCTACACTGGTGTTGACCCAAGATAACTTTGATGAAGTAGTTAATGATGCTGACATAATGCTGGTGGAGTTCTATGCCCCATGGTAAGACAAAATGCAAATTTCTCCTTTTTCACAGATGTGGCATGGCTGTGAAACTGGAAGGGAGGGGCAGCTGGGGGCCCCCACCTGTCAAATTTAGTTTTTCTATAAACCTATCCCTTCTTAAAATGACTTGCTTGCTTGACAGCATCCTTAGAATGGTATTCTGTTTTGAATGAGTTGTGTATTTAAATGGGAATACTCCTTATACTGAACTTGATATTTTAAAGAGCTCTTCCTCATGAAAGTGGGTGGGGAGGTAGCATTGGGGAGAGCCCCATAGACCTGGAGATATTTGCATAGTGTTTGGCAACACTAGAACATGATTGATTTTCTGACTTTTATCACACCGTTACTCCAGTCCTGAGCATCTGTTGAGGAAAAAGTTAACTGCTATTTGTTGTGGCTTTGGTGTTTGTGGTTTGTGTTTTTGTTTTTTCCCTCCCCACAGGCTATGACAAAATCATTGGTCACTTTAAACTCAAAACTTAATCCATTTGCTGAGATCTAGTTCTCAGCAGGTGAAAAGCTAGAGGAGTAACTCTCTGTGCAACTTATCCTCCCTGAGATATTCCATGTTTTAATAGGCTGAGGGCATGTCTTGATGTGGTTAAAACCAAGTCCGGTACAGCCTTCATTAAGAAAGCACCTCTCTGAAGAGTCACTAGGGGGGAAAAATTAAGAATGTAACATCCCTACTTATTTCACATTCTGGAAATGTGAATTTCCCCACTTCACATGCCTGGAAGGTAAGAAGCACATACTAGATATTGTTACCTATAAAATATCGTTGCCTTCCCCCCCCCCTTTTTTTTTTCCTTTAGGTGTGGACATTGCAAAAGGCTCGCTCCAGAGTATGAGAAAGCTGCCCAGGAACTCAGCAAACGCACCCCCCCAATTCCCCTAGCTAAAGTGGATGCCATTGCTGAAACAGATCTCGCAAAGAAGTTTGACGTCTCTGGCTATCCAACTCTGAAAATCTTCCGCAAGGGCAAGCCTTTTGACTACAACGGCCCACGAGAAAAATATGGTAACGGGTCTTACTATTTAGAGTTAGAATTGGGGGGGCTAGGGGAGGAGGGAAGGATGAACCACAAACCTTTTGAAAAAATCTTGTGTAAATTCTGCTGTTGGTGTAGCTGGAGTGATAGGGCATGGAAAACTGCATTCTGTCCTTTGCCTAGGTTAACAGGTTTAACTGAATCTCACAGAACCCCGGGTCTTATCATAGTGCCCTACCAAATTCACGGCCATGAAAAATGCATCATGGACCATGAAATCTGGTCTCCCCCTGTGAAATCTGTTCTTTTCTGTGCTTTTACCCTATACTATACAGATTTCATTGTGGAGACTAGCGTTTCTCAAATGGGGGGTCCTGATCCAAAAGGGAGTTGCGGGGGGGGGGGGGGAGAGTTGTCACAAGGTTACTTTAAGAGGGTCGTGGTATTGCCACCCTTACTTCTGGGCGGCTGGAGAGTGGCGACTGTTGGCCGGGTGCCCAGCTCTGAAGGCAGCACCCCGCCAGCAGCAGTGCAGAAGTAAGGGTA